GAGGTCGAGACCTACTACAGCCGGGAGGAACACCGCTTTCCCGGCACATCGTGCCTCGACCTCCCGGTCGGCTTCGAGCCAGCGTCCGAAGAATGCGGCTAAAACGTTTGCGAGATCCCGAGTTTGTTTTGCGAGATCTCGCAAAACAAACTCGGGAAACAAACAAGTCCGTCTTATTTTTTTTTCTCCCATGTCCCCTGCGGGGCTCCGTACTACATTGACTAGAATCCAGCAAAATAAATTTGGGGCATGCTGAAGGAGGGTTTCAATCTTGATATGTATAACCTCAAATGTGAGACTCACATGTATGGTGTCATATGGTGTCTAACTGAGAAATAACGCTGGGAAAAAGGAAAAAAAAAGTCTGAGAATCATTTTCTTACAGACGTCAGCAGTCATTTTTCTCCTTCTTATAGTGCTATTTAATTTTCTTTGTGATAGCCTCTATAAAATCCCCCTGAAAACTCCATGCCGACTTGCTTTGTGGTAGTTTGCAATTTTTGAGGGGCAGCATTGGAGGCAAAAGATGATGACAGGTTAACCTGCAGGATGACAGCCTTCCCTGCTTTCTTCAAAGCCACTGGATAAACCCAGACGTTAAAAATAAAGAAATAAAGAGTACCGCTCCTGCAGTGTTGATCTTTGAAAACTAGACACAATAAAAAATGTTGGAGATTGGCTGGACATGTGGAACATGTGTGTGTGACCCACCTGTAGGCTGCCGCAGAAGTGATAGATTGCAGGGTCTGTGTTAATGTGGTTGTCAATGGTGTTGGGGTTGCGTTCACGGTTTCTTTGGTAGGGGGTGGTGATGGAGGTGGTGGTCTGGACGGGGGACATGGGCTGCCACACCCCGACATCAGTTCCATTCCCGAAGGCCTGGATGGCGTTACCTACAAAGGGAAGAAAAGAAATGATTATAGGTTTCCTGTCCAGAAAACCAAATCCAGGTAAGTTAAGTTATTTCATGGCTCAAATGCACGATAATCCCCGTGTTAAAAGTAAAACTGTATTTTGCCCAAACCACAATTATAGGAGAGTTAGTGGGTACTTAAGTTTTGTTATCACTTCCCTCCATTATAAATTCACCACACCGTCAAAAACCTGAGTGCTGATGTGGCTATTTACCATTAGAGTCCATTAGCAACCCTATTAATAGCCTTCTATGGCTTTGATGTAAAACACACACACATGCATATACACACACATCAGAGGGAAGCTGAGCCTTACAGAGCTGCTGTTTGAACGTAATGATATTCTTCCCTCCAACAGTGAATTATGACCCTGAAAACTGTGGTAAAGGAAGGAAGAGCTGATCTGCATAACTGCTCTTTAACCCCACTCAAATATTCATACTTACATGTGCAAAGACACGTGATTATGTCGGTATGATGAACAGCACGCGGTATTTTCATATTGCATGTTCAGGTTTGTTGGTTTCCGCAATTTTCTTTGACAAATCCAACGTCAAACATTAAAAACGCAGTTGTGAGACAAATTTATAGAAATATTAGTGTAAATTATGACTATAATCTGTGTTTAAAATCGATTGCATACATAGAGCATCAATGCAGAAACGCTGTGTTGCTGTTAGAGGGGAGCTAAAAGAAAGTGCTGCAATTAAGTTTAAAATAAAATGTGTTTTATTAGCATAATAACCTATCAGTCTTTTCTTTATTTAGCTCTTATTGAGATATATCTGTGTCTTAAAAAAGATCCATCATAATTCGTTAATGATAAAAGATCTATATTTGAGAGTAAAAGCAGATTCATGGTTGCAGATTTATGTACCTTAAGGTTTACCTATACAATAACCTGCACCTGCAATAACTTGCAATGCATTAAATACATTAAAAAGGTCAGTCAACATTTGACATTAAAAACTTTTCACAAAGTCCTTAAATACACCCAGTTGGACTTGATAA